GGTCTTTGGGGGCAATGTGGCAATGGTGTTTTTTTCTCGTCATAGTTAATATGCAAAATCAAAAACAAAATTAAAAAAAAAAATAATTACAACAAATTGACTTTTTAATCAACCAAAGAATCGTATAACAGATTTCGATTGTTTAGCTTTCAATCGCTTTATCGTTTGTTTTTCTGCATTTTTTTTGTCACCAAATATTGGTTTGTTTGTTTTTCATTACTTCTTTTCAACTAACCTCAGACACAGGGAGAAGTTTCTATGTACTACAACTGACCTGTAGCACAGTGCCATCAAGGTGAATGTTACAAAAACGAACCCAACAACTGACATTAGTACACCAACTAGGAATACTGTATTTGAGCCATGGTAGTTCTCTATACGAGTTTCAATTCAGAGTTTTGTGTATGTGGCGGTGGCGGTGATGGTGGCGATTGCGATGGCGGTGGCGGTGGTTGGAAATTTCAACAATTATTTTTATTATCATTATTGTGAGTGTTGTTGTTGTTGTTTGTAGTTGTGTAAATAAATGTAAATATTTTCAAATGTGTTGGGAAAACATAAAAATATGAATTCATTGTTTGTTTGTTTGTTTGCGAGGAAATAATGGCAAATATTTAATTAAATTAATTAATTTAATCAAATTTATGCACAAAAATTTGTTGTTCAAGAATCCATTCCACATGTGTAAGTAATAATGGACGGGTTTTTTTGTTATAAATAAATGCATTGGTTAATTATTTTTAGTTGTTTTTTTTTCGTTATTGGTTTATTGATCGATCGATGGATAGTCGTTGATGAAAATTGAATTTTCCATTGCGTTGGGATTGGTTTTTGTTTGGTATTTTGTCAATTCGTTGGCATTGATGTGGTCATCACCAAATGTTATTCCATTATTGTAGTTGATGTTGTTATTGTTGTTGTCGATGATGTTGCAGTAAATATATATGTAAAGTAATTGATATGTTTTGTTAGAATACAATACAACTAAATTAAGTAAATTTGCATTTAAATAGTTAACGTAAACTGACAATAAAACCTTCACTTCATCACCCTTCCTGTGTTTTTTTGTGTAGCTATCGTTGGGACAAGAAGAATCTCAGCACGCCATGACAATGGTAATCCCAAAAGCGCGCATTATTCAAATGGATATTGACCTCTTTCATGCATTCATTCATTGATGATGGACAGTTTCAGGACAAATTCCTCGCCAACCATCCATCCACCCATTCGTTCATTCATCTATCAAACCAGACCCTCGAACCATTAAAAAAACTATGTGTATAAGTATTTTTTATGGTTTGTGTATATGAGTGTGTGTGTGTGTGTGGTAGTAGTTCATGCATAAAAGATGAATTGATTTGTATACAACAAATGTGTTACATTCAACGAAGAGAAAAACATACGAACAGAGAGTCATGTAAAGCCACTGAAATAATAAATAATTAATTAGTAACCTCCAATCAATCCCTTGCTATTATCAACACAATACCCTCCCAAACTCACACATTCACACACTAATGTTTCAACAATTCCTGAAGTAATAATGAAAAGCTTTCAATAGTTACAGGTGGTTTGAGGTGAAAGTGTACACACAGGTAAGGCGGGCTATAGTGAATATGAGGTTTTGCTTAAACTATTTCCGATTTCTTACTTCAAGAACTTAAGACGAACTATTTTACGAATTTTGCTAATAGTTCAAAAATAGTAGCTCATTATAATACACAAATTACATCCCTAGTTTTATGTACATGTTCAAAATATACTTCAGATATTGCATTGTATATTGGTTCCCTTAATCACGAGTGTACTGTTTGTGGCTGTGTTGAGAGGCCAGTACATCATACATCATTTCTGAGATGTTGGAAAAAATATGTATTCAGTGTTTCAAAAGCCACTTTCACTATTCAACCGAATGAATCAATGGAAATGTATATCCTAGATGCATTGAAATGTAGAAACAGGTTACTAGACCACTTAACATGTTTACTATACATTTTAAATATATATATATATTTTATGTTCTATGTAATACTTAAAATCTAAAAATATGTAAAATTTAAATTTTCAATTGATTTCGTAGGAAAATCAAATTAAATAATTAAGTATTAGTCCAACATTCATTTGGCGGTTTTCATACTTATTAACAATCTAACTAATCTAACCAGGTGGATTTAGGAGTAAAATAATCCAAGGGACTTGTAAAAACTACGAGTTATTCAAATATTCGTTTTATGTCAAATTTTTTTCAACATAAAATTGAGTTGAGTTGTAACGATAAAAGTGAATATATTTTATTGTTAGCAAACAAAAAAAATTCTGTAGATTTTGTTTGCATTTTTCTATTCTATATTATTATAATTAGAAATTTTAAAATAAATAAAAAAAAAAACAAAACTTGTACGACAATATAAATTAAAAAAAAAATAATTGAAATATATAAATATATATATATATATGAGATGTATTTGAGAGAGATGTATTTGGACCCACACAAACATATATAATGGAAAATAAAGGATTTAACATTTTATATATCACCACACTTATATTTGGTTTGATAACATATTTGCTGATATACACAGTAAGAGAGAGAAAGAGTTAGACAGATGTTAAGAACGAGAGAACACGAGTATTGAAAACAAGAATTGTGATAATTCATATGCAAACATATACACACACACAGACAAACATATATTTATATACATATTTAATATTTTCAGAATTATACGAATAATGATAATAACATTTATATTTTATCGATAGTTTTATTTGGAATCAAACATACACGCTCACATATATATGATGAAATATTTGTTAGAGGATTATATGAGTCACGCACACACACACTCTCAACTTCGTACATGTTTCTTACGCTTGCACAAAAGAAAGTGGAAAATAATAATTTCTTGTTAAATATGTAACAGATACGTATGTATGTATGAGAATAAACCAATACATTCCCACTTAATAGTTTAATATCTAGAATAATGAAATGTGAACATATGTACTCTCGTATGTATGTATACATTTAAATTCATAAATATTTTCCAAATTAAAATTATTCATTAGTACAAATAGACAATTAAACAATTTAAATACATACACACGCACAGAAGGAAAGGAACACACGCATGTACATATTAAATTGGCCATAGGCAGAATTTTGAATATCGTTTATGCACCCCCATCTAAAGACAATTATTGTGAGAGCACAATACTAAGATGGTATCTTTGGCTATGTAATGAAAATAGTGCAAATTATTTTGTCCTGAATGCCCACGGCATTTTCAATCGAAAAACAATGATTGTATATGCTTTAAAGGAAATATATTAATATAGATCCAAAGTATAATATTGTAGGGACGCTGTATAGTGAACCGATATGAAAATAAATATAAGGGGCGGTGACAAATTGGTGGTAAATTGGCACAAAGAATTTACAGATTTCGTTTGGGAACAACCCCGGGACTTTAGCAGATGAACGGCAACACGAGGTACTGAAAGAAATACAAGTTTAACCATTGGAGGAATTCAATGTCGAAACCTAAAACGAAAATCACCTGATCGAACAAAACTCTAAATTATTCGATGTCTTTTTATATATCCCTTACTAATTGGATATACATGACCAGTTTAAATAATGATAATTCATCTATGGATTTTTCGTTTTCTCTTAATGTAGTGTGCGATCCTGGTAACCGGAATAATAAACCATTTCTTGTACGAATTTCAGTATGCATATAGGAACTGGACAGAAATAATTCCAAAACGAATTTTGATGTAAAACAGTTTGTATGGAACTCAACAGCAAATATCTACATGTAAATAATTTATAAAACCAATTTTCTCGTATTCGTCGATGCTCAACTTTTACGTTACAGATATGTATCTGATAATAGTTAATCGAAAGATATATGATCTAACCTGAAAACTTACTACCAACCACAGCAATTGATAGTTAAATTGTCTTAGAATTTGTTTAGGGCAAAGAAGTATTCCCTAGACGTATATTCCCTTTTTACTTGGTGATAACTGTTGCAATCACATTTTGGACATGACATTCAATTTGGAAAAGTGAAACCGCTGCCTATATTTTATGGAATCGCCCTCTCTCTACATTTGATTATATTTCAATGAAATTTAAATATGTTCTATGGTAGTATTAGTATACATACATATATGTTCATATGTCTGTATACATGCATACAATTTAGAAAGCTTTATATGACGATATGAGAGTGTGTGTGTGTGAGGTCTTGTATTTGAATAGGCACGCAGTTTACTAGACACCCACCCCTCTACTTCGCCGTCGAGCAGTGAGTGCAGCGTGGGATGTTCGGTCGGTAGGTGGTTGGTTGGTTGATTGCTCTTCTTCGTGTCCGCTTTTGTTTGGGAAGGACAGAAAACCAAGCAAATGTCTTTTTGTTCTTCTTCACATTTTGTTGTTAGTTTTGCTTTTTATTTCGTTTTTTGTTTTGTTAATGATTGCAAGTGTGTTAGGAATTTTTTGTTTGTTTGTTAGTAAAAAGCGTTTTAATTGCGAAAATGTACTTTTTGTTCATTATCAATGTTTTGTTTGGAAGCTGTTTTTTCCGTTTTTTTTTCAAATCATAACAAAATATAAACATAGAACAGTGAATAGAAAAGGGATTGTATTTGTTTTTGGGGGACAAATTTTGTGTTGTGTTTTTCTTTGGTTTTTTTATTCGATTTTTATGAGTGACCAAAAAATTGCAGCAAAATTAAGAGGACAGTTAATAAACCAAACGACAAAAAAAAAAAAAAAAAAAAAAGAAACACACACAAATCAAGGATACCAAATAATCCATAAACAACAAAAAATAGGACACAATCAATGTAATTGATTAGATAGTAATAAAACAATAACTGACGACAATACGATAAAATCGGAAGGAAATCAACAAAACAAAACAAAACAAAAAATCGTTACAGTTGTGATCAAATTTGCTGTTGTTGTTGATGTTTGCTTGGTACTCTACCTGTAACAAACGGCCAATGTTGCGAAACTAATGAAGACGCATTTCACGATTACGGTTAATATGATGACCATGGATAATGTGCTGATTCTATCTTGATCTGTGGAGGCTGCAATGGGTGAGGTGAGGCGTATTGAGAGCAGTTCAAGGCAGAGAGAAATATGATACAGAGGTTTGGTGCTTGCAACAGCCCAACGATGTAAACGCTGTCATCACATGTCTACATATCGTTGGGCTATTGCCCGGCCATTCATTGTTCATGTTTTGTCCTCTTAAGGATTACCATTGTCATTTTATAGTTTGAAAATAGGCGCAGAACTTAATTAACTTAAAACATGTGTACAAGTCAGAAAGAGTCTGGCCACTCGACCACTGGCCACAGACTTCAGAACAGTGGCATCTTCTTGGCCTTTGTTTCTTTCTGTTTCTGTGTCTTTTTTAGAGTTCAGTTGATTTAGCTTACCATACGGCGTCTCCTTCTTCTCCATTTTGATTGTGTTCTCTTGCGTTGGCAGGGCTTCCGTTGGCAGTGGTGTGGTTAATAAGACAATTAGGCTGCAATCAAATCCTCCCCATCCCATGTCGCAGAAGCATTTGTTGGTGTTGGTGCAAACCTGTAGGGACAAGGGGAAAAGACAAGGGAAGAAAATCAGTCTTTAGTGGGACATCGTTATGACAACATATGACATGGCCTTCGCCGCCGTTGCTGTCGACTTCGAAATTGATGACAAACTGCGCCCCACCACTGGCGGTCAAATCAATGGACGCTGTTTATTGCAATGACGTACTAATTGGAATGAGGCTTTCTAGGCGAAATTACTTTCGTAATAGTTTGGCAACGAACCAATTGTATGCCGATGCAAAAGTCCACAAAAATCAAACCACATCAACTTTGACGGAATGGTCAGCAGCAAGCCTTAGCAGTTATTAATTACGTGTCTCTTTTGATTTCGCAATCAAACCCGTTTCTTTTTTGTTTGAACTCAAAAGGGGGCACCGTTGTTGTGCCAGAAAAGCAGTTCGATGGAAACTTACCCCTCGATCGTTACACTCTTGACCAAGACTGTTGGTTGGACATTTGGTTTGGTCGACATGTGGAAATATGCTGACACATGTCTGATTGAGGCAAATCAAATTTTCACCGCATGGGGTGCCATCCTTGACCAACCCATGGTCGGGAGTTTCACCAACTCCTGTTCCTTGGCCGCTTGTAGCTCTGCAATTAAGGAAAATATTATTTGCCAAATGTATGTAGCAAGCACGAGTTTTGGCTATAGTACGTGTATGAAATAAATCGATTTTCTTAGAAATATCAGCGGCGATAAAAATTGTATTTCATACATTTTTTTTATTTTACTTTTCAATTCATAGTTTTGTGATGTTTGATATATTCTGATTATTTATAATTCGATGAAATATCCACTTACTTGCATTCATATTCCTTGCCTTTGATGGATATTATGGTTCTTGAATAGAGGTCACCATCATTGACAGGCTGTCGTTCACCCTCTTTGCATTGCAATGTTCCGCACTGCACATTTCTAAGCGATGGAAGAAAAAATGGTTCGTGGAAATTCGCCATTCAGGTGGATATGATGTGTGTGGCTCTACTTACTCTGGTTCGCATTTTATGTAGTTATCCTTGCCATTTTGACCGCAGTGACCATTAATGGATCCCTTTGAATTAAACTGCTCGAAGCACTCACGATCGGCGGCTACACCGCCATAGCCCCATATGGCTTCACACTGCAAATTCAATGTGGGGCATTTTCCCTGAAAGCAATAACCTACGGACGCGGAGGTACGCAGTATGAAAGCAATTAGGGCCAGCCGTAAAATAGTCTAATACAACATACCAGACACTCCAGATTTGGAGTGGCCACAGGGTGATCCGTTCTTCTTGAACACATCCATGGGACATTCGCCAACCTCGCCATCACAGTACTCTGGCAAATCACATTCGTTGTTTGAATCACGGCAAATATGATCCTTGGGACGTAACTGTTCGCATGAAATGATTGAAGGTTGCAAACGCACGCACGCACACGGAGAGGCGGGGAAGGAGTGGAAAGAAGAAAATGGAAAAACACAGAATGCAATTAAAAGTTCATTTTCAACTTACACGACACTGGTCACAACAGGCTCCACCAGCACACTGGGCTTCCGACTTGAGCTTACACGTAATGGCATCACAGCATGGATCAGAGGCACATTCTTCAAAGGTACCACAATCGCACTCCTCGTCCTCCTCCACAACCTTGTTGCCACAGTTGCGACGCATTTCGATCTTTGCGTGGGCCAATAACAACGACAAGATGGATATTTTGTTTGGTTTTTATTAGTGAGGGGGCATTTAAGTGTATTCGAATGTAATGGCATGGCAGGTAGAGGGTGGGGCACGGTGGAAAAGCAGGAGTATATAATAATCAATTGCTTGTCAAGGGACACAAATGGAACGGGACTGTGGGAGTTCGTGTGTCGTGTGTTGCCAAGCAGCACACATTCAAACGAATACATCAAAGAATTCCCTTGAAAGGTAATACATTAACACAAATAAAGGAAGGCAGCCCAACAAAGTCGTGTTTATGTGTATGTGTGTGTGTGTGTGCGAGTATGAGTGTGAGTAAATGCGTGCTCGCCCTAATGTACAAATATACATATGTATTAAGCTATAGTTGTATGAATGCATGGTGTGTGTGAGTGTTTACAGTAAATTAAATAATTGAAAGGAAGCTGCGAAAAAGGACTCTTTTCATAAAAAACAAACAAACAAACACACGCGCGCGCACCCACTAGGCATAGGGCAATGTTTGGAAAACATGCGATGTTCTTATTTTTGTGCATTTTTTATTTTGGAAGTCTTCCTCTCGCAATGCCACTTCGCTTTTTCGCATAAAGGACACCTGAGCCAAGTGTATCCTTGTGGCATGTTCCATGTACTATATGTAATCCTTACAATTAACGTAGCCGACACTTGTCCAGCGTCTGTTTGCCGGCGGTTATTTCAGTTCAGTTGTCAAAGTGTAAAACAGCTTTCAACGTCAAGTATCCTGCGGTTGCATATTTTTCTTTACATCGAAAGCTGAGATTGCTGTTGTTGTGGTTGTTGGTGTTGCTTTTTAGATGTAAACAATGCTTGAGGTGTGCTTGTGTTAATTATACCCAGCTGGTCAAGGTCCATCCATGTTGAATATTGTTAAACGCTTGCATAACTCTTTTTAGAAAAAATAAAACACTATTTATGTTGATGTACTCTTGTCTTTGGCGACAGCTTTGCGTGTGTGTATTTCGGTGTGTTTGTTTTCACGGCAATGATGCAGAATTATATACATTAATGATGAGATGTATATACATATATATATGTGTGGATTGTGTATAGAATGTCAACAATGTCAACCAGATGAATTAATTGCAATAAATTTAGATAATGTACATATGACCTATGGTAGATTTACTTTTATGTATGCTAGATTTAGTTGTATGCTTCGAAATAATCATCGCATAGAAAATATTTTCTCTGATAGTTTGAACAGCTATAAAAATTCGGTAATAACGTTTGCGTGGGTAAATATGTCAGTCATAAACAAAATCTAATTTTATCTACATACATATATTTTTTGTCTTCAATTTATTTTGCGAAAGTTAAACTCTATATTCAGAAACATCAATGTTATTCTAATCATAGGACAAATAATTGTGTACTATTGATTTACACTGGTTTAAAATAGATTCTAATAATACTTTAAAAGCGTCAATAAAATTTGTTGGATACCCTCCACCACAAATATTCACCGGAGATCCCAGAAGGTATATACATATACATATATTCTTCATCTGAATAAAATTCTATGTCAATTTATGCTTGTTCGTATGTCTATTGAAATCACGATAGAGCTCGCAATATTTATGATAGATAGATTTTGCACATACATTGGTATTACTCCTAGGATGTTTGGTATTAAAATGACCTATTTTAAACCACTAGGATAGTAAATCTTCTAACAACAATTATCGGTATGGGTCCACTTTTCAGGATAGCCCCTATATAACAGAAATCTACATTCATCGGTATTTTGGGAGTTTCGACACGTTTTTCAATAAAATTGGTTATAATTTGGTATGTTGAGTTTTCATTGGTTGACACATCTTCCTACCGAGAATGATCAATATTGGTCAGTACTTCCCATTATTTGATATTTTGGGCACGTTTTTCCGCCAAATTAGCTACAATTTAGTATTTTGATATTCAATGGGTATTAAATCTTCCTACAAATATTGTATACTTTGGACCATTCATAGGATGGTCCCTATATAACGATCCCTCTCAAATTTCATTCTTTGTGCTCGTTTTTTTGAACCTAATTGGGAGAAACATGGTACTTTGAATTCACATTAGGTTGCTAAAAATTATTAAATTTGTTTGGATAGCCCCATATAATGTTAATCCCATTATTTCATATTTTGGGGATTATGAGCCCGTTTTTTAATGGGAATGGGATCTTGTTTGGTTGTGGTTGGGTGTTAAATCTAATAACATTTTTTTTTTCATGGCATTAACCGCCATATCTCTGAATACAGAATATTTCGGAAATATATTAGTAACAATAAAAACCCAAAATTGTGTTAAAATGATTTTATTATGAATTTTATCATTTTATGAATTTTTCAGATACATATACGATATATGAACTTAAAAATATCTTTCTACGACTGTCCTTAAGTGAAAATATTTTTTATACCACGAAAAATATGAGTATATTGCAAGATCCAATAAATTCTAAATGGTACGTAAAAAGGGTGCGAGGAATCGTACAGAATACTGTAATTACATATTTTATTTAGTCATATGATTTTATGATTATTATTATTTGTGGAATTATCTAAAGTTTTTTTTTTCGCATATTGACTTTATTTAATTTAAGTTTAAAACAAATGCCTTTTAATGAGAAAACTATACCTTCCTTCGGTTATTTTATGACATATGACATTATGGGTCCCAATGGAATTCTAAGGTGGCATAAATGTTTATTTTGATATTTGTTTTATTTTTTATTTTTTGCTTTCAATATTAAACAAAGAATGAAAAACAAATAATAAACTTTGACTTACTTGCGTTTTAAATCGAATCTGTTAATTTTTTCTATTCAATGTGGAGGGAAAGAGTACGTTTTGAGCCAGGATTATATTATAGTATTTAGGTTGCCGATTTGCCGTCGGAAAAAAGCGTTGGATAAAAAGAGAAGGAGCAGAGGTTGTGTGGAGCTTTAATGCAACTCCTTTAAAATGACACTTACATCGCTCTCAATGGAACACTCCAGTTCCATGTCAAATGTGGACATTTTTAAATTGCGTTTTTTTTCGATTTTTTCACCTATAAATGTTTTTGCACTTTTATGTGTTTGTTCTGTTTCACAAAAATAACTTTTGTTGGTTTGCTCGAAAACTATTTTGCTGTTGTTTTCCTTCGTTTTGTCTTTGTTTTTTATTTAATTGTTATTATTTTACTCTGATTAAAATCATCATTATTTATTTTAAGTTTTTATTGTTGTTTTGGTAGTTGGGTGTTTTTTTTTTGTTTGGTTTAGTTTAGTTTGGCTTGTCTGCTTCTTTCTGCCTATGATTATTATATAATCACTTACAAAAATATTTCACACTTTGTGAATTTGCGTATCTTGTGCTGCTGCTGTTTTTCTGCTACGTTTAAACTGTCGAAGCTGCAAAATGCAACTGCCGTTTTTGGCCTGCCCAAGTTGTCATGAAGGCTATTTTTTCCGTTTCAGTTGCAGTTTTTAGTTTTTGTTTTTAGTTGTGCATACACAAATATAATAGATGCTCGTTTCTGAGCTCTAGGATGCTGATGATGATGATGACGGCTACGACGAGTGGCAGTGGTAGTGGTATGAACAATGTGCATAAGTATCACAGTTTTAATGGGGGGAAGTATTCCCCAGGCATATTGTTTGCTGTGCACACAGATTTTTGCTCTGGGCTGTCAGAGGCCTTGTAATATTGCCACAGGCTAGCTGGCAGAGTGAGCAGAGGCTGGTGCTGGGTTTACTTCCCCGTACCAATTTCCAAAGCCAAAAGTTGTACATCACACTTTGGTGGCTGTCAGAAAGGGGATACAAAAACCACTGACAATTTTCAAGACTTTGTGGTCGTTGTTGTAGTTGTTGTTGCTGTTGTTTTAGCTGATGAATATGTTGGTTGTTCTTTAGGCTGGGTTTTTTTGTGGTGCGTGTTGTTTTTTAAGTAACACAAGAGTTGATGAAGAATTACTCAAGTGGCAGCAGCTAAACACAATAACAAAAACAGCAAAAACAACGCCATGAAAATATGTGAAGCAGCAGCAAGCATGCATCGAAGCGTTACACACGTACCTACAACAATTAAATCTGACGCCTACGCTTTGCTTTTGAAAATGCCCACCCTGCAACCTCATGCACTGCTATAAATGGCCAAAAGGCTGGGTTGAGCACCAGCTATAATATCAGCAACGGCAAAGGCAAACATCCAGATTTGGTTGTAGTGGCAGCAACAACATCAGCGCCAGGCTGTGCAACAAACACGTGCACTCAAGCTGACACGCGCAGGTGTTTCGAAGGCAACACCAACGACAACTTTAAGCAACAAAACCAACAACAGAACAGAACAACACAACAACAGCGAGCAAAGCACCGCACAACACAGTAGCAACGATTGAAGCAAGCAACTCATTCACTGATGTTGAGCACAGAGGACAAAGTAGAGGAAAATATAAAAGTACGTGAATAGTCACAAGGCTTTACTTGAAGCACTTATTGTCTCGCATCCAAAAAGATTCAGATTCATATGTTCGTTGCCTGCTAGAAGATATAGCAGCGGCAGCATCGGCATCGTCAGCAGCAACAGTAGCACCAACAACCAACTGACAAACCTATACTAATTCATAAAAAGTTTCGAACGCACCACTATACATTTAACGCACACACACACACACATACATTCATATATATGCCTCTTGTTATTCTTCTTCTTCTGAGAATTGTGAACATGATATCGAGGTCATTGTTTACGCGCTGAAACTAAATCTGAATCTGACTGGGGCCTCAATGCGAATGTGTGTTCCATTCTCAGCCATTGTATTTCTGAAAGTCCTTTTCTTTGTTGTTGTGTTTTTTTTTTGTTTCGTTCATTTTTGCTAAAGTATTAAACAAATAACAAAAAGTGAAAACAATAACATTATTGCAACACTCGCATAGAGAGACAACACATACCAACGCACTGACAACGACAACGACGACACTCACACTTACAATACAAAATAAAACAATGAAAGGCGGCTATTCTATTTGTTTGGATATATTTATGACAGAAGCGCGCACCGATTTTAATCATCCAACGAACAAAAGGACTGGGCCGCAGAAGTGACGCACTAACCAAAATGACCTATTGCCAACCAGAAAATACAACAACAACAACACGAAGAAATGGCAATAAAATGCACATAAATTATGGTCATGCTGATTCTGCAGTACCCTGCTAATTGAAGCTTATATTCTATATCACTGGGATATTCCAAAAAAGAAAGGATTGTATGCTTTTAAATTTTCATTGAATCGTATAAAGCTATGTTTGTAAGAATGTACACTAAATGTTAGGGAAATGGAACATGGTTGGCTTCGAACAATTGTAGTCAGCGTATGAACATTTTAGGAAATCGGTTGCGTCAGAGATAGAAATTAAAAAAAAAATCCAATTGATTACAATATCTAACTATTTCTGTTAGAAAAGCTCTCCTTAGAAAACTCGCAACAGTTGTGAGTACTAAAATGTCCTCCGCTTTTCTTATTTTCTACGAGGAAAATGTGTTGGAGAAAAATTGGTAACCTCAATTGTCGACTGACTTCTGATTAATTGTATATAATATATAATATATGGGCGACTTGAATGTATACGTATAATATTACAGTCGATGGTTCAATTTTTAAAATGGATTAAAATTAAAGACGATGGTATTTATGTTTTTAATGTAAAGTAGCCCTTCGATATTCAGAAATATTCAGTAAAGGAATTGTATTTATTCCGAAACAAATAATTCTCAGGCAATTTATTGAAGTTATTCTCAACAAAGTATATAAAAATTGTAATATTAGTCTTAGTATATCTTAAAACCGAATTCATGTGTCATTTTCGAAGTGCGGTGTTATTTTGTATAAAATGTTTCTTCACGTGGCAACGAACAAAAGAATCCGCTATCTAAATTGAAATATATCCCATGACAATCCCATTATACGCATTGCATACTTTATAGAGCAACATCGTTAAACTTTCATTTTTCAAAGGAATTGATAATGGCAATAGCATTTTTTCTAGAGGCACACAACTAACGAATAAGTAAAAAAGAACAACTACAATAACAATAAGAAGAAGAACACCACCAATAACAACTGAATTCGTCGAACATAAATAATGCAATAAACGAACGCTTTGTTTTATTTAGCCTATTTTTGGGTCGTATGTTTTCGTTTTCCTGGCACAGTGTCAATGCATTTGGCATTTTGTAGAACAAACAACGTTGACCTTTTGGAATTCTTTGATGATTTCGATGATGGCTTGTCATAGACGAGGATATGTTCTTCACTGGGCATTGATTTATATGATGGCCATGCACAAGAGTTGTTGGCGTTTTTGTTTCGTTTCGTTCGATTGACTTACCTCGTTGGGTTTGTTCAGCAAACACAGGCCATTCCCCCCACGCAGTGAATCGATGTAATCCTTTTTACTGCACTCGGAGAATTTGTAAGGCTGGACATTCTCTTGGCCGACAATCGATTGAGCCATTATGCAACCGTGCCAATCGCGGCAAAAACATTCCTCTCCTACAGCATCGACGAATGAAAAATGGAAATGAGAATTAAAATTTATGAAATAGTCATCGTCCGGCTTCGGTGGGTGCTGTCATCACTGCCCGCACCAGAGTGAAGTGGCGACAGCTAACAGTCATCGATACTTACGTCCATCGTCGTGGCCCATGCCAATGTTGTGGCCAATCATGTGGGCCATGGTGCCGGCCAATAAATGTGGTTCGTAGACATTGATGTCAACGCTGATGCCCACAGCACGTGGCGTACACACGGTGTCCGCCACTGCCATGCCCGCCTCACCTCCGGCAAACGTCTCTCCGCTAGAATGTAACGAAAAACGAGAAAAAAAGCAAAGCAACATAAATAAGTAGTCTCATTATTAATCTGGCTGATTGACTTGGAATATTTCTCGGTTTTTTGATTAACTTAAAAGCGAAATGAATTCTCGGGGTATTAATTGTGATTGTGTGAGTCGGAGCGTAAGGAATTCATTTGTACAAAGTCGTTGATTAATTGTGGCAAATCAAAAGATAATTATGGTCTCTTTATCGGAAATGTAAAATGTTTTCGCTACGCTGTTCACAGTCCAACCATAAGGGCAGAAAGCAAACGGGATATGGATCAATCGTACGTATAAGTAATGGACGCCTTACGTATACGCCGCCACGGCAGATTAAGTATAAACGATCATTATTTTAAGTATGCTACTATTATTGTTAGTGTTGCCATTGGTTTTTAATTTTATGATGTAATTGAAAACAATTTGACACTTAATATGCAAAATGTTTCACCTGAAGATTATGAAAAAAATATTCCAATTACAAATAGATTCTACATCGCAAAAATTATTTGTAAAATATATTCTGAATATGATACGGCCCAAAAATATCTCCAATGTAAAAACTCTAAAGCGACAACTTTGCAAACTACTACTGTCCTTCCTCTCAGCTTCTAATAAATACTTGACCATTAGTTTGGTCATATGTCAATGTAATGTTGTTAATTTCATTACACTAGCAGAGGCCATGGCAGGCATTGATTTAATTAATGCGAAATAAATAAACGGAGTGTATGCAAGAGTAATAAATACGTAAACCTGCTCAGCCTGCTATTGTTTCAGTCACGAATGTGTTCGTGTGCTGACCGCTTGGCTGACTGACTGACTGGCTGGCAATTAATGTTGTAAAAAGGTAAAAATTGAATTATAATTGGATTAATTTTTCGGGTCATAAAATTTCAATCCAATTTTATGATAAGTGGAAATCGAAAAGGCAACAAAAAATATAAATAAATGTAATTATATTTTTTAATTATATAATTATGTAAAACTATTCACTACTGAATGTCATTATAAATCCAATTCAATATATTTATAATTATTGATGTTTTTTTTTTGTTAATCCTTGAAGTTGTAATTTTTGTTGGATAATAAAGAATTAAACTAGGCAAATCAATGTGATGGGTTAAAGTGTTACTTATCCAAGCGTTGGATTTGTAATAGAAGTTCGCAATTCGAATATGAATATTGAATCATTTGTATATATCGGAGTCGTGTCCAGACAAATTAAATTAAATGTTATTTGAAAATCAGATGACGTCGTAGCCAAATTAAAATTGAACCAATTTGAACTGGTGTTAGCTGCTATTTTAAGGCCACACTTTATTTTTGTTTTACTATTAAATTTGGATATCAAAAGAAGACTGCATGTTTTTACGTCAAATAAAAAGCTTTCAATGAGAAAAAATGGTAGCAAAAATATATTATTTTTAATAGTAAATCACATATAAATAAAATAAATTGTTTAAAAAAAGTTTAATTCTAGAAAAGTAGTATTGTTTTATTTTTTTATATTATTAGAAATGTTCTTATTTATGTTAATTGGAAACAGCATTCTATTCAACGTCATGCGTATCTATTTGACATTTGGCTGTGAGTGTATGTCAGTGTGAATAAGTCTTAGTTGTGTCGTTAATTAACTAAAATGACCATAAAGGCAGTAATACATCATTAATGTAAAGTACAACATATCACAGAGGACTAAAATGGACTGTTTTCAAATCAAGAATACACAAGCACATAACAAATTACCAACACATGAATGTGTTTTGAAATATTTCTCCTAGCTAATGAATGAAGAAGAAGATGAGCAAAAAACAGCAAAAACAAACTTCTATGGATAGACAGTTGTCCATTATACTGACACCACCACCACCACCCCTGCTACTACTTCTACCTGAAATGATAATCTCGGCTTATCTCACACAAGAAGTAACTTTAATTTAATTACATAATATCATCTGTATGTTGGTGATGTATTACAGTTTAGATCTGTTGGCATTGGCAACTGTAGAAAGATTACAATGTTTGACCTCTTTGGCAATTAATTTAATTTTGTGATGGAAGTTTTGTACACTTTTTGTTTTACTTGTGCAAATTTTGGAACGAAACAAAGATAGACTGAAAGCATTAAGGAGATGAGAAATGTACGGTGGGGGTCGAATGTATTATACCCTACACTACATAGGAAATATGCAGGATCTCAATCCGATAAGCTGTGAAAATGATAGTTCCAATCGATATAGTATTGTTGGTTTTGTAGTTACATTATTTTATACATTATTAGTTTCTAGTTAATTGGATTGATATGACTATTTCGATACATTGTTTAATATATACTGTAAAATATAATACGATTTAAACTAAATTTGGCCCACGTCTTTCTAAATCGACATATCTGGAGGGATTATCTGATTCTTGCTTCATGGCAATTACATAATACAGAATAACCTTTTCCGAATTTAAAGTGATTCTATATGGAGCTAAGCGTACGTTCGAGAGTGCCATTATACATCCAAATTTAAGAGCCTTATCATTACGCTGTACAATTTTATACTACGCCAATGCCTTACAATTCATTTATTATTATGGGTTATACTGAATATTTTGTGATTTGTTTCCATTTCTTCGTATCGAATAAACTCAATATTAATTTTATTGAAATATCGGGTCATTAAATTAATTTTTAAATTGCAAAGGCAATATTGAAATGTTCAGAAAATTGTCAATATTAATAACACCTCATATTTACACACATATACTCTCATGTAGTTTGATGCTTTCAGTCGGAAACCATTTATCTATGAAAAATTATAGACTATTAGCCCAAAGGATTATATTTAAATACTTAAGCATGTTAATTGTTGTAATTCCCCAATACAAAGTGTCTATGTAAACAATATTTAATATGATGTCCATTTTAACTACAGTTATATGTTCCTGTAGACCAATTTTGATGCTGGTTGGATTTGCTTGGCATGAAATGAAATTTTCAAAATAACAAAAAATATGCTATATTTTTATATGTGTATTTAAAGTTGATTGCGCATATACAAGTAGATAGGAAATACACAGTATTTTTATATCATTAGCATTTTTTCAAGATATGTTTATATGCACATATATTAGAGGATGTATATACAAATGCTCATTTGGTTTCCTTGTACTTTGATGGATGAAAACAACCAAATATTACCAGACAAAAAAGGTGTTCATCAAGCGCTATACACCCTATAATATTTAACAAATTAAAACCAGTCAAGACATGTAGAAAAATCTATGTAAATATTAACACATGTATTACAAAATGAAATTTAAACCTAAAAGTTTGTTACTAAAAAAAATTACATCAAACTAGTGGGAATGTCTGATAGGAGACATAGTTACAAGTTGTGTGATCCCATATTTTGTGTATTAATTTAAACTTTCAAAGAAAAGGACAGGAATGAAACTAGGGTAAGAATGTTACAAGGAAAATTATAATTCACAAATAAAAATTTTCTGTCTTCACCAAAATCACCAAAAATTACAAGAAAAAATATATTTTATTAATTCTTTTCTCATAAGAATTCGCTTTGCATTTCGTAAGTATTTAGACTAAATCATTATGCACCAAATGGTGTAGGGCACATATATAGCAAGATATTTAAGTGGGCTGGGAGTAGTTATGAATGTATTATACGTTTTTGTGCTTGAACAGCAACTTCAAAGAGATTTTCTGTTACTAACTCATTTTTTCCGCTAGCATACTCATGCATATTTGTATCCGGGAAAAAACATACACACGCACACACAGTCAAATTTCAAATACATTTCATAACATAGATTTATGAATACACAACGTACTCCCCCACCCCTTTGCTGTGTATGTACGTATGTGTGTTATTGAAAAATACAACTGTAGTTTAAACCGAAAAAAATGAATGAACGGAAATAATAATAAAATGCTAACTTAATGGCATTTGGCGTATGTATACATTTGAAGCACTTTGTGTTTGTATGTAAAAGAGTATGTGTGTGCATGTATTTGTATTTCCTAAAGTGGGCTTCAATTTACTGGGTTTTGGCATTTTTCCGCTATGCCTACAATCGTTTTGCCTTCTATAACAATTTCGCGTTTGAATGTTTACAAGCTGAAGAATATTTTTTTCTGACTGGGGTCTTGCCATTTTTCCACATTTTCGCTTAAAGCTTTTAGAAATATATATATATATATATATATATATATTAAGAAAATGTAGTCGTACTTATTGGAAGAGCTTATTTAAAGCATACGCCAATATGTAAGGTCAACATAATATACAAATAAAATGAAAACGACAACAATAACGGAAATGCCAAGAAGGGAAATAAACAAACATGTGTGTATGCACAAATACATATGTATGTATATTGGGTTTGTTCGCAAAATAAGTAAAATACAGGAACATATCCCTTTCCACCTCTCACCGCCTGATGCCATGATGGCCAATTCAAAGTTCACTGAAAGGGAAAGCTTTGATGGGAGGATTGCTTTGTTGAAGAGCACTTGGTAAAAGGTTGCATCGTATACAAACAAAATTGAATACTTTAAGTAGACTTTGTTAACGTTTTGTATCAATTAGGAGAGCAAAAATACATAAAAAAGTGAACATAAAAATATATATAACGATCGTACTCTGTCGTACCACGAACAACATCTAACTACTTGTTCCAGTAATTTGTTAAGTAAAGCAAACAAGATTTTATTATCCTCCACAGCCAAGGGATCCCTGTCTGACGGACAATCAAATATCCAGTATGTTGGTCTATAACATGTTCACATTGTTGTACATACTTACTTAGCACCAAACGCCGTTGTTGGCTCGTTAAACATGTACTTTATCCTGTTTTTCGGGTAATTTTGACAATTACAGACAACAACTACATACACATATTTTTCTGTTTTGACAAATAATGGGGTGCAGAGTGTTTTTAGGATTAGCCGATTATTTGTTATGGGAATGAACACACATGAAACCGTGTTTTACAAGTAATATTATTTCGATTGGGATTAATCGACATATCGCCAGTAGATCTGAAATCTCAAAACAGTTGTGAACACATTATGTCGTATGGTTTATTGTATTTTATTGTACTAATGTTTGTTAACACAAAGATAAAGAAATGTATATACTATACGGGGTCCTATATTAATAGATTTTGGTAGAAAAATGTTGCATGAATGAGACCAAATTTTATATTCTTATGTGGACCATTTGCAAAACCAAAGCTTCTAGTGGTACCACCAACGTCTGTGCACACGTTATATGTGGCCGATTTAATTTTTAATTACAAGTAATTTCTTTAAAAAAATCTAGATTTTGCACACTTATCCGCCATCGCTCGTCTTCCTATATTTTTATTTTTGTTTTTTTTTTATTTCAAAATGTTTAACATGTATAAATAGTAATATAAGTCTAGGCGACAAGAAACAAAAAGCTAATGACTACAGCTTTTATCTTTGACATTTTGTGTACTAAATATTCCCAATGGCCTGTTATGGACCTCTAAAATTCGCCATTAGTTTGTGGGTATTAATAAATATTTCATGTGTTACAAATTTGTCCAGAGGATATTTAGAAAGAGCGAAACACACACAAACACACATGACGGCAGCTTACAAAGGAAAATCCCAAAAACGTAACAACACCAACAGTAACAGGGGCTATAATGATAGCATCATGAGTTGAATGTTTATATCCCGAGTTTTCTGCTGTTTATGGCTTAAACATACAAGCTAAACATCCAACCAACCGACTAACCAAACAGCCAGTCACCCAGCTCTTCAGTCTGTTACAGCTTCAGCTTTATTTAGGCAAACGTTTTGTTATCCTACAGCAGTTCCCACATCAAACACACAAGTATACATGTATGTGCTCACAGTATCAGCTGCTTTACAAGTGTGATGTTTTCATGCCATTACATTACTCTGACCGCCTTGTTTTTTCGAGAGCTAGAGGCCCTCCGTCGTCAGCGCACTCCAGTCTGCATTTGTTTCCCAGTAACGTAATAACAGACAGGATTTATAGGCATTAAGTTGTTAACTAAAAGTGGAGCTACGAGTTGCTCATAAATCAAGCAGAACTCGCCAAGAGCTTTTGTACCATACGTCCGTTTACCCGAAAGACTAGATGTGTAAAATGGGTTTCTTTCTAGTAGTTGGGGCCAAATGAAAATTTATAAAGTATAAAATCAAATGGGATAGGATTTAGTGAGTGTGTTGATATATGTAATATGCTTAAATGCGTATAAAGGAGTAGAACGTCTATGGAGTTGAGGGTCGGAAGATAGAAAAATGCCAACTAAATGCAATGATATTTCAATGAAAAATCAGAAGATATTACTACTAGATGCTGTATATGAACACATATAACCTATATATATATAACCTATATATATTTATATATATACATATATATTGTTCATGGGATATATGGGTCTACGTCTCCATGATGCAGTAGCGAGTACAAAAAGTATTAATATTTGTAGTGTCCCCATAGAAAGATCCGGCGATATTTTGAAGAATTAAGTCGCATTTCCATACCAATTTCATCATTCAGGCTCCTGATAAATAAAAACAGTAAGCAAAGTCGGACGGGGCCGACTATATGGTACCCTTTACCACTGTGGGTATATTAAACAGACGTCGCAATTTTTAAGGACCATTAACTTGAAATTGGATGAACTAAAGTATGTGTTCCTTATCTAAATGCGAACCGACTTAGATCAATTCATAAACATGTCATTAGTTTGGTGCACTATTTGCTAAAAATTGGATGAAAATTTATATGGAAGCTATATTCAAATATGAACAAATATCAACGAAACTTGTCATAGTTTAGGTTATACTAATTTCAAAACGCTTTGTTCACCATTCACCTAAAATCGCAAGAAAAAATATATAGGAGATACATCTAAATCAGAACCATTTTCACCAAAACCTGATACACGTTAGACTATACTATCTTCTGTAGCAAAAAGTGTGCCTATCGGCCCAGCATAGCGCCTTTGGTGCACCATATACAAAATCGCACGAAAATATATATGGGACCTACATATAAATCTGAATTTGACACACATTAACCTCTACAAAATGTAGTACAAAATGTTGTGCCAATCGGCATAATTTTATCTTTTTGGAAAATATATCTCTAAATCTGAATCGATACCAATAAAACTTGGCAAACATTAAGCTGTCCTAACTTCACTATAGTATGCAAAATTTCGTGTGAATCGGACATACTTTAATTCGTTGGTGCAATTATTACTAAAAATCAGACGAAACTATATATGGGAGCTATAAGTAAATCTGAACCGATTTACGCGAAATCAAATTGGTACGCTATGCCATATTTCGTGTAAATGGTGCATCATTTACAGTAAATCCGATGAAAATATATATGGGAGCTATATCTATATCTGAACCGATTTCAATGTTCGTCCTCTGGACCAAATAGCTGTGAGCTGTGCAAAATTTCATCCAAATCGAATCCTAAACGCGACCTCTACTTTCTTGACAAGGATACATGGACATGCGTAAATCGATATTCTCAAAAGGAACCATTTGTCTGTTTCCTTTCCTTTTGCCTGTTACAAACAGATGCACAAAAACGTAATAACCTGTATCACAGCGTGGTAAAGGGTATAAATATCATCTACATAGGTGTGTGTTTTAATATAGCACCCATACATATCTTTTACTTAATTCTGTGAATTTTGAAGTTTTTAGCCCATTTTTTAACCCCATGGAGGGTATGACATGGCTCAATTTTAAAACTAGTTAAGTCAATACTTATTCATCTTATCTTATCTTATTAACTCAACATAAAATAAAAAAAATAACGTAAATAATAGTATCCATATATTTTATATACAATCAAATACGCCAAATTTTAACATGGCATATAATGTGTCCGTATAACTATTAATACTTACGTTAGAAGTTGTGTTGTATCACGTTCCACTTGAAAGAGATTTCTCGATGTGTAGTCATTAAAATTTGATATAGCCTTGGTAATGTCCTTGCTGCCATCAATGACAGCCTGATTCTTGCCCCAGGTCTCAATGTAAACCACTGATACGCGGGTATTCATAGTACGGAAATACTGAAAATGCACAACAAAACATGAAAGATTAGTACACGACCGATTCCATTTAATTAAAAGCGTCAAACACTATCGCAGTCCGAAGCCACAGTGAGCAAACAAAAACACTGCTGCTTGTGAGAGGTTTCAATTAAAATTGACGGGAATAACATACACATACACACACGCACACAAGCAGAGAAAAAGAGCTGCTGCTCTCAACTAAAGACAATAATAAATTAAACAATTAAAAATACTTTTAATGCGAAATAAAACCGGGGAAGACCTAAATGGATTAAGTGTATTCGCATGTATGGCTGTTGTCTATGTGAGTCTATGTTTGTTTGTATGTGTGTGTGTGATAATCTGTGTTTTTCACAAGGAAACAAAGTCTTGAAGATGCGTTTTGACACGAACACACATGATTTATTAGCCAGGCCAAGTATCAAGACCCTCCACCAACACAAAAATGGAAAAATGACAAAAAGCTACAACAATACCATCAGAGGGTAAATTGAACATGAATCTTCAACATGAGTCGAATGTTAAATTCCAAGTCCAAGCAATAGAACTAGAAGCAATGTTTAATGGCTCTTTGGTTTGTCCAAATAAGCAGTGCAGAAACACACACACACACACACAACAACCAACTAACAAACCGACCGACCGTCCAATAGACTATAGACTGGACGGGAGCAATGGGGCAATGCTGTGCTAATGGAGTTGTTTCACATCGACCGGAGAGTGTATGGCAAAAGATAAAATTGCATTTTAGGCTAAACGACTTGTACTCGTATTCTTTTCTTCAACTAATGGCATAATGAATGGTTACCACGATGATCATCTCCAAAGGAGGTAAACACGCTACCATCAAGTGCAAGGAAAATAGCAGACCACCCGACTAATAGTAAGACGATGATGACGACCACGTCGACGACGAAGGGAGGCCAAGCAAAGCTGTTTGTTGTTTAGTTGGTTGGCTGGCGTATTCATTTATTTATGGTTTTCATTCTCGACGCCAGACCAAACAAAATGATTGAGCTTAACAATAAATAACCGAATACTGTCAGCCGCCAGTAGTAGTTGTGGGAAAGCAAAACAATGATTTTAATGCGAACACATACTTGCATACGTGAGTGTGTCTCTAGAATGCTACACTCCCCCGGAAGTGGCAAAGAAGTAAAAAAATGTATTGTCTGTCGAACGAAAAATAACAGGCATTGGATTTAAAGAAAACTTTTATAGGCACATACACTCAATCTAAATGGCAATATTATGACATACGAGGCAGTTGTATAAAGCATTGGAAGCAAAGGACTATAGTTTAATATTCGGGTTGAAACGAATATTTCTTAGGTACAATTACAATCGAAATCGGTTGTACCCACATTGTTTATAACGACAAATCGGCTATAACGATGAAATTCAAAAGTCCCGAATTTCTGTCCTTTAGAGACTACACTAAACGATATATCGGTTGTAATGATTTGTGTTCGCAAAATATTAGAATTGTCCTATATATTTTAATGACGAAAACACAGAGCATGTTCGAAAATAGTGTTATGTTTTATTACATTATTCTTAAGTGTTTAATTACTATGAAATGTATATGTATTTTTCCATCATTTCTGCTATTAAATTCAAAAATTTAATTTTATATATTATTTTCATGTCAGAATAACAAAATATACGTATGTCGCTTATAAGCGATTTCGACTGTAGTACAAATGGTGTCGAGTATCATGTGGACTGGTCCGACTGATTTTAATTTTAAATGGAAAAATAATATCTTTTTTAGTCGGCATTAACTATTCTCCCTGAAAATTACAGACAACGACTAAATAAGTTCCCACTATGACTGTTTCAGAAATAACTACCAGAATACTCCATGTCAATGATTTCTACCCGTGCTTCCAACCAATCTTGAGTTTTCTCTCCCCATTCGATTTTTCCAAGGATTTGGTTTTTGTCTGACTTACTCCAGTGGCAAACTGTGCGGCAGAGTGCCATTGTGAACACGAATAGACCAAAGCCATTAAAGATGAAACGAACAGAGGAGGAATGTTTAAGGCGAATATTGTTTTGTTATTGTTTTCCAGTTGGACGACGTATCCTGTACATTTCAACTCACTTGACACATATTTTTTGCAAAGTGTGTCGTCATTGTTTTTGTTTATTTTGTTTATTTTGCAAAGTTCATTGATACAATGTGCCCTACTCCGCCCTGCCCGCCCGCACCGCACGGTCTGTACTCATTTATGTTTAAACATTATACCTTAAATATAATTTCGAATGTTTGAATAATGGAATGAATCTAAGCACAGATATTCCATTGTTTTGCAATAGGATTGGATTTCTGTTATTATTCCGTTTGATTGTGGTCAAATGGAATAAATTTAAGTTGCATAACATTATCATGCCATTGAATACAGTATTGGTTTCATTCATGGATGTGGTTGTAGAAGCTGGTTTATATACGAGTACTAAATGCAACTCATTTCTAGTTGAGATGTTTAAAATGTATACAAAAATTGTTGGAAAAAGTTGTTAGAAAAATGAGCTATACCAAAATGTTGCAATACCATTAGTATACTAATAGTCATAGGGGGTCTACATAATATCTTCTTTAATTTTTAAAGAAAGTCCTTATCTATCATGTTTTCAAAATGTAAATTTTGGAAGAATGTGATTCAAATGGCTGGATTCATAACCCTTCCTCTAGGAATACTTTTGTACGGAATGAAGCATGTAAATGCTGTTAGGATCTGCTATAATCATTTTCTAATTGTTCAAAAGTTTGGTAGAATGAATCCCAATTTATTATTCAGTAGCCGGCAATTATTACTCTATTGATATTTTGTTACAAATATCTTAAGTCATTTTATTTAATTATTCCATTTGTGACCGTCTCACCTACATCATTGTCTGTACGAATTTTCTCTTTTGGCCTTACATGAATGTAAATGTGATAAATAACTTTGTACTCCATAAATGTTCCATAAATAATTACAAAGAAATTTACCACAAGCATTCGAGCAATGTGCACAAGCACGACCTGAGATCATAAATAATTCCGATACGAATTGTAATAATGAGCGTATCTTCTGTGGCCACCCACCCACACGAGTCCTGATGGAAGACTAACGAAATGAATGAACTAATGGAGCAACTAATTGTGTAAAGCCGTAATGAAGAGCCAACCACCAGACGAATCTCAGATTGGAGGTCTATTTAACGCGATTGCAGACAATTGTCGTTAATCTTCTTCGTCTCAGAGGATAACACCCCCTAACGTATATAAGTGTATGAAAAAAACAACAAACTAAAAATATGCCAACGGCTTTCCTGTGGAATATCTTTCTTGTCGGCTACTATTGGTAGGTATTTTTAAATTTTCCAAACAATAAAAAAATAGTAAGAAATTCCTTTTAAAGGACGAAAATTTAAGAGGATTCTAGGAAATACGTGAAGGATAAACTATAAAAAAGAGACAAAATGTGAAAATGAAATGTTTTTTGTCTATTTGTTATTTCAGATCTCGTTCACATGACCGACATGCAGTGTTGAGGAATGTGACGGCGAAAGGCGGTGTGCAAGAAGAAAACCCGGAAGTGCTTGCCTACTGTTCAAACAAATGCTAAACGTGGAAATGCAAGTGTGTTAGTGTATAAGTTAGTAGTCAGTCACCGAATGAATGAGTGAATGAGCGTGTGAGTGTATGCTCTTTAAACATTCAAATATTGCACGTGTTTGCCGTAGTAGTTGCTGTTAGTCAGTAAACGTGTGTATGTGTGAGTGTGTTTGCTATAGAGTTAAGTAAAACAAAACGGCAGAGGACTTTCATGTCTTTTATTGAAGAGAAAGAATCATGACTGACTTACTTGCAACAACTTTTGCAAAATCCACAAACACACACACACATTCAACTTTACGTGGGTGTGGTTGTGCGTTTTGAATATGTGTAGTGTGTTTGATTTGGTGGCAGTGTTACCATTTTAAAAACTTAAAATTTTCAATTGAACTAGTTTGGAGATTCAATAGAAAATCCAGGGAGATGGTGATAAAAGTGTCAAAATTAAATTCTCAAGGTCCAATAGAAGAGTTAATCATTACGAATATTATAATGCTATACATTATCATTCTTTTTTCCATCAATAAAAAATCAAAAGCACTTTCAGTCAATATAAGTCGAAAATGTTTAATCTAAATGCGTCATAGTTATATCTGTCTGATTGTGTGTGTTCATAGTTTGTAGGTCGTTAAACAGCACTATCTTCGAATAAGTTGTATGTATGGTAATTGGGATCAAAAACTAAATTATTTTATTTTTAGTTGAAAAATAGACCAGATCTGGTATGAAAATATGGAAAATCGTATTTTTAATGTTATATTGTATTTTGATTATTGCATACAAAATCATGAAACATTTTATAAACTTCTATGCTTGATGTCTTAGGATATGTTACCCTTTTGTAGCTTTTTTTACTAAATTGAAAATCGCAACGGCAACACTGTTCACATCAGAGTTCGTTTGCAAAACTTAAGATTTATGTTTTGCATTTAAAAGATTTAAAGCCTCCTGTGGTGGTGGTTTAAATAAAAGAGACGGTTTTAGTTGTCTGACGCGGCATCATCAGACACATGCCCTCTTTGCCATTAAGTTACGAACGAATGCACGGAGAATATAAAAAAGCAAACTAAACTAAAGAAGGGAAAATACTGAACCTACAAAAATAATGAGCCTAGCTAAGCCTAGGGTAGCTTTGTTTGCCATAAATATCTCGTCACTGTAACTCTAAGCCAACTTTTCTCTTTGAGCATGACCCCCACCGACGCGACGGTCGTCGTGTCACATGTGATTTGGCAGTAATTTTAAATTAAAACAAACACAAAAAGAGTGAAGGAAAAAACGAGTATGCTTCTCCCATAATATTCCATCTTCGTTGTCTAAATGTGTTTGGAATTGAGTTAGCGAGTCTAGTGACATCAATGCTTCGCAAATAAATAACAAGAGAGTTCGAGTTAGACGGAGGAGAAGGGTATTAGGATGGAGGAACATTAAATGTACTTACCAAATCCGCAATGTTGGCAACTTGTATTGCATCGTGTATTACTTCGGCCCTTGTACTTCCATTCCGCTTATCGAACATGGCCTTGTCCACTATTATGGCAGTTTCTATGTATTTGGTAGCTTCGCGAACATCACGTTTATAGCGACCAGCACCATTTCGATCTATCTCATCGATAAGACCAGCTGGCAAATGTTTTGTGCGTCGTGACAAACGCCACGAGTCCAGATTGCCCGTATTCGCGCAGCCCTTGTTGGCTTTGGTGCGTGCCTCAAAGATAACATGAGGATGCTTCTGCTGAAACAAATGTTGAAACGAAAGTATGAGCAAAATACGAAATACAAAATGTACAAATAGTCGAACGACGAACAGTACAAATAGTAAATCTTCAAGTGTTTAAATGGGATTTTTCGTAAGACAAATGGTTGTTAGTAAATAAATTGTTTAGAATTTTGTACAGACTGTGTGGCCATGTATGTGAAGTGTTTGTAGGTACAATTGTGTAGCGAATATTTTGCAACATAATTACACGGTGACAATTGTAGAATTTTTGTTCACATGCTTCCAAGATATCTAATAGATGCAATTCATATGACAGTGTGTTATACGGAGATTCTTAGGATTTGATGCGGTTCATTCTATGACGCAGACATGACACCGAAAAATTTTTGGCTTGGCGTCTTCGTAGGGACACCGATGTGGAGTTATTCAATTTTCCCAATTCATTATGTGGCATAATTCAAATTGTGGATGATTGTTCTTATGCATTATTTTGGTATGCGCACGTCTGCATTCCATTACAATTATAATTGGTGCGGAATAGCTATACGATTCGTTAGGAAATAAAACTAGTAAAACCAGTTTAAGATTTAAAGAGTTAAATTTGCATATATTGCAAATACCATGATGTATTTTGATTAAAAAAAAACAAACGTTTCCAAAGTAGGGGATCTGGTATGACAATAACACTAAATGTGTTCAAAAAATAAATACTCAATAATCGCTAGCTGGGTTCTGAATTGTTGCTTTTTGGATTGGATTTTCTTTGTAAAAACCTTAGCTAATAATTCAAAACCCAACTAGCGGTTTAAGTTGCAAAATGTGTCACTGTGTTATACCAAAATTACTTGCGGCTATTGTCAATTTGTAAGCGAGAGCGGTGAAGTGTTGCCTAATATAAATCCAGACTTAGAAGCAAAGTTGCCCAAGCCAATTTTGAACTTTCAAAAATATTTTTTTTTGTAAATTTCAGTAACTGTGGAAGTCATAGCCGATTTTTGGCGGAAACAACTGACGAAGTCTGCGAAAGTTCCTCAAAACATTTCAGAGTTTAGGATGAGGAGAATGAAAATATCTAAATATAATGAAAACACACACCCAGGAACACTAAGAATTAAATCGAAGTTTTTTAAACAATAATTGTACTGTCCTGTTATCTTAAATTCTATTGTAGTATTCACATTAAATTTGTATATAGAAAAGTCTACATGGTATTACGTTTCATTCTGGGGAGTAACTGTCAATCTTTTCGTTGAGCCATTCACCCTCCCTTGGCAAATAAATTCAAAGTAAAAGGGGTGACCTGGAGAAACTTGCTTTCCATTTCAGTAAAAGGGAGAAAAAGGATAACAACCACTTTGCAATCAAAAACGAAAAAAGGAGATCTTGTTATTTTATTGTTGTTATAGTACACCAAAAATTTAAAAAAAACAACAATAATAATGAAAGGAAAAAATTTTTGCTTATACGTCAAAATGTGAATATACCCATATGAGCATGCAAAATTGGTACAAAGGTTTGTCAGAAAGGTAAATTGTTCTTGTTGTTTGAATTTTCCAAAAACTGGGTACATATACACCCAAACACATGCATGCGTGGCCTCTTACAAGGTGCATGCCTATTCGAAAGTTCCCGTTGTTGGATGTGGCTGCTAAATAAAGGAAATGCTGCGTCAGATATTTCCTAAAAATGGGTTGTTGTCCGTTGCCGCAGCGTGTTATTGGAATTTTACATTTTTTGTTCGTTTCTCATCGATAAATTTGACTGAATGGAAAACAAAAACTGAAAGGTTTTTTGAAACGACTGCATGGAGTTCAAATAAAACAACGGCCTTGTATCAAAAACGCAAAAAAATGTTTTTTTTTTTTGAATTTTGCTTCAACTTGAAAATTGTAAAAATATGTTTGTTTGTATAGCGTTTTTACAGTTCGTCAGGTTGTTGCATACTTTTTTTGGCAATTGCCAAGGAGAATTGCGGTGTGTAGGTATGCATTTACAGCGGAATATTGTACATAAGTACCAATTGAAGAATATGAATTATTATTTCGAAAAAAATGAGGTTGTCTGAAGTGGGACAAATAAAAAAGTACAGTTCTATAGAGTTTGAGGGACAAGGACAGAGTACACAATTCTGAATTTTTCATCAATGATTGATACTTAATAAATATCTTAAATACATTTTTTAATCTATATTATCCTAAGTTTTATTTTTCAGAGGTCAATAAAATGCGTTCTTCAACAAGAAAAACTCCATCAATTTGGACAGAAAGAAAACAATAGTTATTTAATAATTTAGATTTCCAATTCACTTTTTACTACCTTTAATATAATACAATAAAGTCCAACATACGCATACATCTTACTATACAAATACCTTAAACATAAATTGACCATTGTGTGGAATTTCGAATGCTTGCTGTACATGTATGTTATCTCGGCATCCGCAATGGGACTTATCTCTCTACTCTGAAGTTGATTCTTGCAACAACATGCAATTTATGAGGCATTGTTTGTAAAACATTTTATTGTTTATGATGTGCTCTTTTAAAGCTACATTCGGACATGATTTCCCTCCGGTCTTTTTTCCGGTTTAGAAATTTTCAAAGTTTGCATTGAAGATAAAAAGAACAACAATGCGTACGGTTCGATAAACAGGGAAGGGTGGGCTACAAGTCGATGTTTATGCCTATACAAGTTTTTATTTGCAATGAGCCACCTAACTGTGAGTGTGTATGAGTTGTGAGTGGTGCTTTCTCAAACATGAATATGAATCTGGAACTGAGTCTTAAATGGATATGTTGATTGATTCATGGCAAATGCGTAATGTTGAACACAACAGATTAAATGTGATGATATATTCTATGGAGCGGGAGAGAGAGAGAGAGACACAGGGTACATGGTCAACAAAACACGCAATGCAGCTATGGGTTATACACTTTCCATGATTGACTTTGGGTTGCACTTATGGTCGTACTTATTTCCAGTATATGTAAGTATATATTAAGTGTTGTATGTCAACTGATAGTTGACTAATACATACCATTTTGAAAACAGTTTCCTAAAGATAGAAGAATTGTTAAAAAATTCGAACTGAAATTGTTGTGGTACAAAATAGACTTACATCTAAAATGCTATAATTTCATCTAAAGACTATTTTATTTTGTCATCTTTTTTTGATAATTACTTCAATCATGAGATAATTACAAAACTTCGGTAATGGATGTACATATATTCTCGATTATTGCGAAATTTTCGTTAAAACTTTTTCAGACATAGATATTCTTTCCTTTACGATTTTCGAAATATTTGAATTTTAAATGTTACGCTGATCGTTTTTGTTTTTAATAGTTATGGTATGATGCTGATTTTTATAAAGTTCGTATGTTTTTGCAAAGGCAATATAGCGAAATAAAATATTAATCACATGATCGATTCTAGTTTTCTTTGAAGCATAATATCCTGTCAACATCGCATCGTACCAAATCTAATGTGTTAAATGATTTCATATACACGGCTAAACAATTGAAACATTAGTTTGGTCATTAAAAATACAGAACATATGGTAGAAACCATACCGATTTTCTTTTGTCAGAATGTTATTATTTACCTTGATGTACCAAAGTACAGCCATTTCAATTTCGTAATGTAGCTGAATCAGTTTAAATCTTTAAAATCAGGAAAGGTATCTGTACAGACCTAAATGACATTGTTGAGATCTAAATAAACAGGCGGACATGACTAAAGTGGTTTAAAGTTTAATTTTATAAAACCAAGTAGATATTTTCCAACAAAATTATCATAAATATGTTTAATGACATCATAAACAAGAGCTCCATATGCACTGGCATTTTGTGCCCTAATGATTTTATGATGGAGAAGTGGTGTTGGGCGCCATTTGAGTATTCCTTTCAAAGGTGTATGCCAATTGAAATTATATAATATTAAATAATTGTTGGGTAGTCTATATTAAATAATTATGTGTTCTGGGCAAGAATCGGGTAAAAGTGGAAAAGTACGATCAAATATAGATTCTTTGCGTTTGGGAACTCTCGGTTCAAGAAAATAAGGACACAAAAAATGCGCAAGGACTCAGCGAAATTTTAATTAACTTTCGTGGCTTGAAACAAAAAAGTACAAACATTGGGAAAGATATTTTTTATGTCTTTAAAGATCAACTATTTATTTTGCTAATATTCAAGTTTGTTGTTAGAAGTGATTAAAGTGCTTTGTTTCTTGATGTGGCTTTTAATTCTGTTATGTTTATTGTTTTTCAATAATTTCATTTCAATAATCCATTTCAAGTTCCACCAAATTAAGGGGGTTTAAAAGAGGATTTTTATTAACCGTCGTACAAACCTATTTTTTTGGTCTTGTAGTTGTTGCTCTTTGTTCTCTTAGTATTACAAAGGATTATAATTTTCCCCTTTAGTCTATGGTAACGGCGGTTTAGTTGGCCATGCTTGTCAACGCTTTACACAAGGACCTCATGTCCTGTGTTCATGTTTTGTGTTGTTGTTGTGTTTTTTTTTTTGGTTCTAAAGAGAATTTGTAACCATTCAGGCTGTCAGTCAGTGTGAGGAAAACAACTCCTCGTTGTGGTCGTTGGTCTCATCAGTAGAGGCACGAGAAGGAGTCGTTGGTAGTAAACCACGAGTTGATATGGGTTAGTTTCTCTTTTTTGTTTGGTTCGGTTCGGCCGGTACCAATGGTTGCCATTGGTTTTTTTCGGAGCCATGAGAAGAACATTTTTTGTGTGTTTTGGTGAATTTTGGTTTTGCAGACGGCTTTGTCACAACACATTCCCTGAACACCAAATTGTGAGGCGTGGAGTTTGCGGTTCTACAACGTTTTGTCGTTTTAACATATTGTCGGGCGTTGGCGGAGCCAGGGTATTTTATTTGAATGTAATGCAAAAAAAAGTTAATTAAAAAATCTTATGGTTTTTCAATGACTAGAACACACACCCACCCTGCTAAAGAACAGCAACACATTTTACAATGTTAGCGACAAACTTTGCTTGAGCTGATGTTTTTACTGCTTTTGAAATGTTCTCGTGATTTTGTCAAAGGATTAATAAGTTTTTGTTTTTGGGACCTTCTCCCAAACGCGGGTGGTTATTAAACAAAATGTCTTCATTACAAAATCGTTTTTCATTAGCGCGCAGTGCTGATTTTAAAGCAACTGTTTCCTGAAATTAGTACATGACTGAAATTGACATTTGTGGGAGGTTACTTTGTTCCGCTTTGCTTTGCTTGGCTAATGACAAAGTCATTCATCAATTTTAAGGTGATTAGATTTTTTTCGCGAAAATTACTTTTTCTATTGTGAAAATTATTTGAAATGGGTTTATTTCCGTTTAAATTAGGCTCTCTACTGGCTGTGTGTATTCAAAATTTCGAATGTTCTCCATACCGCTGAACTGAATTGAAGATTTGTCAGCATTTTCCGTAATTGACCTTCGATTAGATTTAGTTTTCCAATTAGAATTATGCGGGGGATGCCGTTGTCGTCCACACGCCTTGGCATTTCCATTCGTTTTTAATGAAACCTAATTAATAAACTTGATAGAAGCAATTAAAATCAAAGCACACAAACAATTTCAATTTTGTTGATGGCGACGGTGACGGTGATAATTTGATGCCGACTGTTGCCACAGCGACACGTACTTCCAATCCGTGTCATTGTTGGCCCGGCCCAGCACAGCCCTCCTACGCTGTGTTGACGGAAAAGGGGTTGGAATTCAATTGCAAATAATCAAATCGAATTTCTAAACAATGACAACAATTTAGCGACCCTCGCCAATGATTGGCATTGCTGTTGGATTGTGCAGAAGTTTGCTAAAAGAAAATCCGTTTAGCAATTTTCCACTCTCCCAGGTATATATTTTGTGTGGTGTTTCGTGCTGCTTAGTTTTTATTATGTTTGATTAGCATATGTTGGAGATGTTATTGTTGGGGCTTTGTAGGGTTGTTTCGAGGAAGTATCGCCGTGAAATCTCTTCACAGTTATTTAGTTTTCGTTTCTTTTGTTTTACTAGTTCCCTAATCTTTTGTCATCATTCCTGTTCAATTATAATAATCACGACAATTGTGGTTCATGTTTCACCTTAAGGTACTCTGGAGGGTGAGGATGATAAAAAACCGAAAAACACTTTGAAACAACATCATTCCCTTGGCTTGGTTGTGATTTGCAATAAAAGCCAGACCATAACAATAAAATCGTCTATCTTAGATGACAAAAACCGGATCAAATAACACCAACACACATGCGGTATTATAATACTCAACGAGGGAATAAAAAACGTTGTTTTTCATGCTATTTTTTCCCTTCTCTTTTCTTTTATACCATTTCGAGTACCTTTAATCGTACGATTTTTTTTTCTTTTAAACGCTTCCCATATATTTTCTACAACCCTCTACATTCTGCATACAAGCATTAAGTAAGAATGGTGAATACGAAAATCTATCAGTTTCGATATGTGAAGTGAAATAACGGGGTTGGACAATATGCAAAGCATTAAAAAACATGGCATAGAACTTTTCAATTTAGTATTTTGTGATATGGTTTAATTTATAACTTCGATATCACTAATTGAAAAGAATACATATGCCTCAATATTTAAAAGAAAAATAAATATTTCATATTCCTTTTTAATTGGCATTTGTGGAAAAAAATCTTTTTTGTAATATTTTTTAAATCACAAACTTTCAAATATATTTCTAAACCTTTTGCGTTAATTTCTCATAAACATTTCATTTACAAAAATTCCCCATATCATCCTCGTACTTTTATTCACAAAAATAAAAAAATTATGATGACATTTATGGACGAGATAAGGTCGACGACAGAATCGAATTTGAAATGAGGGCAATAATAATGGGCCACCACTTATCCACGTATACGTTTAAACCGGGCGACATCGAAGGAGGGAGCGAGTGTAATTTCTATTTCCCTAAATGTATAGCAATGTTTAGATGTGTGCCATTTGCATTTGCAGACTAACTTCACATCATCCAGACACCTGTTCCAAGTGGGGTCTTACTGCCTTTTACGTTTTCTTTTTTCTCACCAAACTAACTCAATCAGCATTTTCGAGCATCCTATTCATCAGTTTTTTTTTCTACATCTGCCCATGTTTTTTCCGAACACCGATTAATATTTTATTCCGCCAGGGTTCCATATTTTAGAGATTTATGGCAAAATGTTCGTGGTTGGTGGCAGCAATGAAAATCAATATAAACGTTTGCTGCCATAAATCTAAATTGCTGCTGCTGCCTTAGACTATAGCTGTTGTAGCGTCGAATTGGGTTTGAATGGAGAAATTCAAATAAATGGGCCAAAATTATGAGGGGGGCATATTGTGGAGACGTATGCACATCGAGAAATAAAAACGCAGAAAAAGAAAATAGCAAACGAAGGCAAAGAAGTCATAAGTTCTCCTATTTATACGGGTTTGTTCATTCTGGCAACGTTTAGTTTCCTGCCACATCCCCTCCCCTGATTTTATGTGTTATTCTACTTTTTCTAAAAACGATTTCTATTTGTACTCAAATCCATTCGTACGTTATAATCGAAATATTTGATTGTTTTTTGTGCTCTTCAATGAAGCGACTGGCAGAAAAAAAGGATTGTGGGTGTTGTAATGTATGGTTGACTGAATGACTGGTTGGTTGGAAGGCTTCTGGGGCTAATACACCAACAATTGTATATGGGACAGTTTTGGAATGGATGCTTAACTTTTGCTGTTGTTGTTATTGTTTGTTTCTGAGTTGGAAAAGTATTGTAAGGTGTTGGTTGTAAAAAAGTTTTGAAAGTGTTGAATCGTGAATTTCGTTTGGCACCACATAAATTGTTGTTTACCTCCACCTATTTTAAAAGGCGGAGAAGGCTAATGCGATGATGACAAGAAAAGGGCAAACGTGTATATATTTTGGCTACATATGTATGGATGTATGTGTGTGTCAGCATATGCCATGGTGTTCTTCTTCAATTACTTACCGATAGATCACCTCCATAGAAGGGATGTATCACAAATGTTTCATTGCCTATGTGTATGACTCCGCTGACACCATTGCATGTGTGAAAGGCTGCACTGGCTCCTGGATAATCCTTAACCGTTCCATGGTAATAACAATGCTCAATATCCTAAACGGAGAAAGTGAGAAAAACAATTTAATTCAATAACTCATATCAAATTACAATAATTATGTATTAATTTTGTTGAATTGTGACATTTGAGAAATAATACGAATACGAAGTATGATCATATATTTATTAAAGTTAACTTATTCTGCACCTGTTCTCTTTAGTTGCGAATTTTGAAAATTGGCCAAAAACAATGGCACTGAAGTGTTAACATAGTCTGCCAAATAAAAAAGTTTACTACGTGCCTCTTTTATAGATAAGTGGTTTTAGGCCCACACACTCGTATATAATTCAAACGAAATATTGAAATGATTTGTTGAGTTTATACCCACGAGAAAATATCTGTAAATTCGCCAACAACATTTATTACCCATTGATACTTTGTTGTTGGGCTTTTATTACCGATTTGTGTTTAATGTTGAACTTAAATAACAGTTATGCCGGTATGGATAAAATTAATTAGCTGTGTGTCGCCGATATATAATTTGTCTTTAGGAAATGTATATAGATATTACACTGTCAGAAAATCTAAGCAATATTATTTCGAAAAGGACTTTAAAAACAAATCTACAAAGCATTATATCCATAACATTGTGAATCAGCGACGTAGCCAGAGGAGGGGCCCGCTATGGAATTTTTTCACAGTAAATTTATGTTTGCAACATCGAATTTATTCATTTTGTACTAGCGGCCCCCATGAATTGAAATCCTGTATACCGATCTGTTGTGAATGAAGAATACTGAATACTTACTGATATCTAATTTATAATTTTTATATTGTAAGGGTATCTTCGAATATAGCAATATATTTCTTTGTCCACCTGTTATGTCAAACCATTTGAGTTGTAATTTGACAGAAGTCGGGTAGGAGTCATAGTCATTGCAATTTTGTGGCATTCGGAAATATACAGAATCATTTACAAGAAATCGTTCGATTATATATTAGGTTTGGGGAAAAAGATATCCCTTACTTTTATATGAGCTATTTGGACCAAATATGCACCGTTTTCTTGTATGAATTGTTGCCATTTTAAAAGAAATCTTCATAATGTCCTGCTCTCTATTTGCAAAAAACTCTAAAAAAAGAAATTTTACAATGCAGGAAAAATATGATAATCGCTTGGTGCCAAGTCCGGACTGTATGGTGGATGCATTAAACTTCCCAACCAGCGAGACACTGTAGATGTGTGTGGCCTAGCGTTGTCCTGGTGGAACACAACACCTCTCCTGTAGGCCAATTCTGGCCGTTTCTGGTCATTTGATATCTTTAAACGGTCTAGTTGTTAACAGTACAGACAGAATTTAGCGTTTGACCATATGGAAGAAACATACATGGACATAATAAATAATCCTCTTACAGTCCCACCAAATGCATAGCAGAACCATCCTGGCCGTTAGTCCTGGTTTAAGAAATGGGTCTACCTCAATCCGTTTGACCAAGACTTTGCAGTTAATTGGTGTGGCACCAAAATCCAGCTTTGTGTAAATGTTTTGAAACAGTTTTATGGTAGATTTTTAGCTCCTGGGCGATGTTACGACTGCTAACATGCCTGTCAATTTCGATAATTTCTCCGATTTTATCGACATTTTCGATGAAAAAAATAATGCAGTTTCCCCTAACTATATAAGAAATATGTATAAAAGTAAAGTTATATAAATAAATCTTTACTAATGTCTTGGTATATCCTCAAAAGCAACTATGGTTTTATCTGGTTTCGCAATTCTATAGTTTTACTAAAAATATTTTTAAAATAACATTACATTTACGTGAATACTTACATGACGATTGCCATCTACTAAATAACCGCTAGAGTGATAGTGTTTCTGTATTAAATTCGGCGATAAAAGTTGTCTGCAAGTAGAAGAAAGAAAAGAGAATAAACAATTACTTTAATTACTTAATGATTATTCCAAGCTATAAAAAATACATATTCAGGTTCTAACCACCAAAATGCAACCCTACCCCCAAAAACGTGACCACACAGCTTCACATAAAAATACCACCCGTACTGTGGGAAGAAAATTATGTTATCACTATGTTAATTATTTCTGAACGTTGTTAATATAAATAGGCCAGAAACAAATGACCGTCAGTAGTGTTTGCCTTTGTTTTTCTTCTTCTCTGTTGTTGTTGCTGCTGTGATGTTTGGTCGTTAAATTATGTTGCATTGCACGTACTTATAAAAGCGTTAAATATTTATTGAAGCTAATAAATAATTTTGCATTTAAGTGATTTCTTCTCCCCCCTATCCAATAGCTTCAATCCAACTCAGCTTTAGTACTCGCCCTGGCCCCCTCCCCATTCAGTGGCATGCGTTATTTTGCAGCCACCCAAACCATTTGGTTTTTGTCCCATTCATTCATTTATTTGTTGTATTTTTATTTACTGGGCGATTGTGCCAGTGTGTGTGATTGTGCGTGTTATTGTATGCGTGTGATTCTCTGTGTTTAACAACAATTGTTCTCAATTCTATTTTGTATTATTATACGGAGGGAAAAATTTAATTAAACATGTACTTCTCGTCGTACATTCTGCACGAGTGCGAGTAGAGAAAACATTTGGACGGACGCCATTAACTGGATATACGGCAGAGTATTACCGGGGTCCACCAATGATATGGCCTGCAGATAAATTTTGTGCCACACAGTGGAGTCCAATTGAGTTGAGTGTGAAAGAGAAATGGGCAGCCATCGCTTACCGAGTCCATTGTTACACGGGAGTATGTAAATGGTTGAGTCCATTGTTGGTCGGTTAAATAGATTTTATTTATTTGTTGCTGTTGTTGTTGCTATTGCTACGCTTTAAGAATTTATTTGCTTGTGCAGCATTTGTTGTATGTGAATATGTGTGTATAAGTGCTGGCTTGGTTGTTCGGTCCAATAAAATCGAGTATTTAGTGAAAATGATTATGGTGGGAACAAAATAATCTGTGCCGCACACAGACATACTAACATACGTAAATAGACACATATGTGTTTGCAGCCCCTGTCGTTGGTGTTGTTGTGGATGTTGTATTATTGTGGGTCACTGGACTGCATTATGATCAACTACAACAATTTAAAATATTAATGTCGATTTAAGAACAACAGTCCATGAACTAATTTCAATCTCATTCTATTGTGGCCGTGTTAACAAATGATAGTGTATATGTATGTGTGTGTGTGTATGTGTGTGTGTGCATGTGTGTTCTTGTTTCTGTGACAGACTGTGAGATTTCGTTTTGGTATTATATTGGCCTGGTTTGTATTGGTTGTTGAGTTAATTAAAATTGTCTTCTGACCGCATTGATGCTGAAAAGGTCGACTGCAATCAAGTCACGAAACCATGCAATCACAATCACAATACCTGTGTCTTCGATGTGCATCAACTTGAATGGATCTTAAAAATGCTATTTATGTGCAACATTATGTGATTGCATTTGCTATGAAAATTGGCTGTATCCAGGGCATATTAGCTACATAGCATGTCGCCATGTCACAGTGTCCGGAAGTGAATGTTAAACATTTAATGCATTTTTTACATAAATATATATCTAAGCTTGGCCGTTTTTAAAATATCATTAATACAAAAAATAAAAAAAAAATGATTTCGAAAGGAATTAAAAAGTAAAAAAAATAATTCTGGATATATTCTATAGTCAGAAGGACCTGTTAACAAAGTAAACCTAAATGAGACCTGCTACAATATTAGGAATTTCAAAATTGTAGAATTCTGAGGTAAAGTTAATATTACGTCAAACATGAACAATTCATAAAACTGACAATTGAGGCACATAAAACTGACTATTGTGATTTAGAAATAACTGAAAAATATATTTTTGCTATTTTATTAAAGCGTGAAGGTAGTTCCAAGTTAAGAATTTTGCAAATTTAAAAATATTTACAGGTTTAAAATATAATTATCATGTATGTAATCCATATTTTCCATATCTGTATATAGTAATCGAAATTCTCCGCATTTTTTAAAAATATTACTAATAAATTGGAAATCTATTTATAGACTAGAATACAAATCTTTATTTATTTATTTCGAATACATAACAAAAAAAAAACCTTTCCAAAAACGAAAATATTTGAAATGGCATAGAAAAAAATAAATAAATATACAACATTTAATGTTGAACACAACGACGTACATACATGCAATATTGCATTTAGATGAGAGTGTCATGTCTGTGAGTGGTAGATTGAATTTGATCCTTATTGATTGTAATGGTCTGAGTCTTTTTTTTATGATTATGTCTAGATTCTACTACAATGTACGTACAAATGCAACTGGCCTGTGCGAGAGTATAGTATACTTTTCAGGGCTATTGCATGTCTCCAAACATATACAAGTTTAGTGTGTATGTCTGCTGTATATGTTATGTCTATTAAAGAAACACACATACAAACACTGTCAGGATTTGGAAGTACGTGCGTTTTTGTTCATTTACAATTCACTCCACTATCCGTATGACAATCCATTCGCTACATATACACATTTATATCCTCATGTGGACTTGCATGTGTGTATGAATCTATAAATAAATGTAGTTTCCTTCCTATATTTTGTAGGCTACCAATCGAGGGAGAAAAAAAAAACATTATGGGTCAATATTAGAATGGCTCTATTCAATTGTTTATTTAAAATGAAATTTATGCATGGATTTTTGGCAATGTAAATATTTGAGAAACTAAATGCTTACCACCAGCACACACATATATACACATGTATACAAACATATTAAATACCACTCAAAATAAATGCCACAAGCAATTATGTGTGAAAATTTTGAGATATTTTTGTATGGAATTCTATGCAGTTAAATAAGTAAAAATATATAAACCCTGGATATGTGAAAAAATGTGCACCCATCTAGACCTTTGATCTAAATCAGTAAAAATTGCTTTGGAAATGTTTTGACAACGGATTGATATTTTTTACGTTTTTTTCGTGTGACTGGCTGAAATGGCTCCCCATAACTCATGAAGGGAGCAATCATTTTGTCCAAAATCTAACCTCTCTTCCAAACTCAGAATTCGTATTGATCAATTCTTCTTGTGCCTCCCATACAAAAACTGTAATTTGGATATATTTTTTTTCATTTCCTTTATACAGTCAAAATCGTTTAAAACGACACCATTTATAACGAAGTCAAAAGTCCCGAGGAATGTTCTATCCTTTATGTGATATCGTTTATAACGACATATCGCTTATAACAACCAATTTCATCGACTCCTTGACAATCGTTATAAGCGATTTTGACTGTACTATGTTTTGATTTTTGTAATTTTTAAAAAATGTGAGGTATAAGAAAAGAGTTCGCAGATTCTGAAAAATCGATCTCAAAATCCTTATAAGTCAACAGTCGATAAGATTTTTTATTAATTTTAATATACCGTTACAATCGGATTATAGAGTTTTAACAATTTCTCCCTAATACACACTTCACTACTTCACAAAAATAAGCAATGTGCGGTCATTGCTTCTCAATTCAACAACTTGAGAGTTTTTATTCAACTTATTTTATTTTAACTTAATTAGTGGTGTTTTTGGCCGAACGCATAATACATTATTTAATGCGTAAGCTGACACCACTTAAATTAGATTTATGTCTTAAAAAAATTAAAATGAAGAAGATGTCTTTTTTGGTCCTCAGACATTGGTGGCTCTGTTATTATGAAGGCACATTCTATCCAATTTATTTTTTCCTTGATTTTTTTTTTGTAATTTTATTAACGCAATTTTAATTTTTATTGTTTATATGTTTGACATAGGCCTTAATGTGTAACCTTGTAACATTGCCTTTATTGTTATGGTTGCCCTGTACATTAACTACGATGAGAGGTCAGAAATCTTTGGCATTTTAAGTGTTTTAGGCATTGTTTGTAATTTGCACTTTCATTTGTTGTTGTTTTATTTTTCCTTGGACGATCTTTTTATGGGCCGACAACAGGGAATTGCCGACAGATATACATGACACAAACACCCCAAATCTTATCATTATATTGCAAAGGGGCAAATCAACTCAGAGATGATGCAGGTTTGACCACCCCCTCCCGACCCAAAATTGACAATGAAAACGAAACGAAAAACACACACAAAAAACGATAAAGAAAATAACGAATACAAATAAGAACGCAACAACACAATAAAATATTTCACAAGTAAAAATAAAAAAAATCCAATTCAATGCCCATGTCCCTTTGCGTGTGTGTGTGCTACAAACGGAAGGATGTTGTGGCAAAGGCCTTTGAGTAAGGAAACAGTCAGTAAAAAAACGTAAAACATTTTCGAATATAATCAAACCATAGTTGCTCCCAAAGTAACAAACCAAATAACGAAAACAGTTTGGGCAATAAAACACAATATGAAGAATGAAATCAAATTAAGCTGTTTTATCTGTTAAGACTTCAAATGCAAAACAACATCAATAAACAGAAAGCCCAGAAAAGTAAAATAACAAACAAGTGATGAATGAAAAAAAAACAAGAAAACGAACACACCCACGGCAACAACAATCGAATGGATGAATGAATGAAAGAAGGAAAGTATTAATACATCATCCAAGTCTGTTAAATATTGGAGCAAATGCAAAAACGTAGTCGTATTCAATCATTGAGATTTTCTTTCCTTTCTTTGATAGTTTCCTGTGAGCTTTACATCTCAATTTTATTAAGAAAGAAGGCAAATGAAAACTATGTTTATCCTTTGTAGCTGTCAATTTTGCGTTGGTTTTTTCCAATCATTCTAATGGTTGCAAAATGTTGGATGGTCTTTTCGGAATGCTGCAAATTGTAGGGTTAACACATGGGATTAAGATTTATGTATGACTTCGGTTGGAATTTGAAAATTAAAACATTTTACGATAAAAAAGAAAAATTTGCATTTATTTCGAAGAGATTTAATTTCATTCAACGAAATTCAGCAGTCAATTAAGGCGGCAAGAATGATAGGGGTAAAATGTGTCGAAGTTATGCTTTTCGTTTTAAACAAATTGGAATATTTACATTTAAATAATACTTTGATTTCTGATGTCAAGAAATTATTTCACGAATGAAGACCAATGGAGGGAGGCAGGCGATGCCGACTGATCAAGAGATATCGAGTTTTATTTGCATTAAAGGGCGTCAATAAAATGTCTGACGCCGTAAACCTAAATTTGTGAAAGAGCAGATTTGCCGACAGTATGAGAATTATTATGCTTATCAACCAAATAGGTGTATATTCTGATTCCACACAGTAACAAAAGGAGATATATGAAAAAAATACTTAGTATAGTTGATTTTTAGTTCAATGAATCATTCCTGATCGGAATAAAATTCTGTATCGATTTTGCCATGTCCGACACGATTGCGATCGCAATATTTAAGATTGCGACTCAAAATTACCCATATAATTTGTCCAAATTTAGGTATGCTTACGGTTTTACCGAAATTGATATAATTGCGTAATCATGGAGGACATAATACTTATTCGCAAACATTTTCCAATATCCATATTAACCTCATAAAAAATATTCCTGTTCCTGTATGTTTAAATTGGGTCTAAAGGTCTTGAACTATTTTCGGTATAGTGAACATTTTTGTTGAATTCTCATTTCGTCCTGGCAGACAATTTAAATGTCCGGAAAGAATATATAGGCTTTCCAATACAAGTTTCGAAATATCTTCAAATTTCACGATGGAAAGTTTAATTCAATCTCAGATATCACAAATATTTTCATTTAAATAGGGAGCCATATACAACCATAAGTGGAAAATAAAAAAATATATATATATATAAATTATATTACCATAAATATTGAATAGGAATAACTAGCGAACTGTTGGTAATTTCTTTCAATTTTGATCTGGGTTTTGTTTTTCAACTGCCTGTGACTGATGTTTCTCTCATACAATGTAAACGTTAACGTTGAATTGCAGCATGTGACCTTTAATTGCCACTCATGGCAGCAGGTCGAATAAAAAAAAAAATACTTTTTCCGGCTGTCATTGTATATTTTGGTCATGGTAAATAGAAAAACAACCCAAGTAAATTGTTTACTTAGCCATTCTGTGTCAGTTGGACGCAGTCACTGGGTTGTCACACTTTTTGCTCTGACCTCGCCTAGATAAGCAAATCTTGCTGTGATGCTTTTATTACATTTAATTTGTTTTTCTTTTTTTTGTTTTGCTCTACCTCTGTCTACGTTGCTTCCTCTCCATGATATGGTTAAGTGGGAAATGCAAGTTTTTGTTTTCTTTTTTGTTGCCTTTAGGGAGGGATTAGATTTCGGCAACAATGTCCAGAAAGTTTTGTCAACACGTTTTAGGGTATGCCCAAAGGAATGTTTACCAAAAACTTTAGTTTTTCATATTAAATCTGATTATTAATGACATTAAAGGTGCAGAAATATAAACCAAAATTAACAATGATGACCATGAGGAAAAAAACCAAAAAACAAAGAATTTTAGAAATTATAACGTTGGGCTAATAAAATGGGTATTTTGAGAAGATGAGACAATAAATAATATATTTTAGTGACGGTGGATGTTATTTCATGGCGAACCACCTTGAAGTAGTACAATTAAAAAATATACGAGTGTTCAATGGCTGATTTATTTTTTTTTTTTTTGCAATTTCCCATCACATTCATCCCGTCATAGGCCAATCCTATATCAATTACAACAACACGTTTTAGTTTATGTATATTTTATACTAAAATATGTATTTTATAGACAGCTCCGCCCTATTTTGTATCGATTTTTGTAATGTTTTTAAATTTTTTTATAAAGTCTCATGTCTTGCTTCCAGAAAACCTACGTCGTATGAGTAATTGTAAATAAATGATTATGTATGCAACACCATGAATGCCACATACCATAATCACTAAATCCTCCATCCCCCAGTCACAATTTATTTTACGTTGCGTACACACGTTCGCAACACCTAATGAAATATCACATTCTTATGGCAAATACTTACGAATTTAATTCCAGATCTAAACGAAACTTATGATTAAAAGCCTTAATTAACAATGAGGTTCGATGAAAGTGTTTCTGCAAAGAGAGAAGAGAAGAATAAAGCTTGAAATTAATAAACAGAATTAATGGAAGACATTTAATACTCGAGTAAATAAATGAGAATTTTATTAAGTGTAAATAAGTAGAAAGCATCTGTTTTGTATGCCAGACAATAATTAACGTAAAGCAGTATGAGAGGGATAATGTCAAAGTCGCATTTTTTTCTGTTTCTACTTCTTTGTCTTTTCACTTGATTGAGGAGAGCAATGACACACACACGTAACAACGCACAAGTGTTTTCAGACATCTTCGGTTTGATTAACAAATTGAATAATTTATTTATTAATTTGCAAAGTGAATAGTCGTAGTCTATACTAATATAAAGCAATTATTTAACAATAGATCAATGGTAATTAATTATTTTAAAAGAGTATTTTCATTTACAAAGTATACTTAAGATATTCTACGTAATTTATTTTTTTAAATTTTATTATTTCCGAACAACGTACATACTTCATAGTTAACTTGACATAACATTAATAGAACTATGCAAGACATGAAGCAATTCCGAATCAGTACAAAATGGAAGCTCCTTGGAGAATTTATCTCCAAAAAGGATCCTTTAAATGTCTCATAAAATATTATATTGAGAGATATTCATTGTGTTCCAATTGGTGTTTGACTAATATTTTCTTCAGCATTGATTTATATTTGAATCGATTATAAACAAAGATATTTGTGTTGGATTTCCAAACTTTATGATCAAAAATTAAAAAAAGTATAATTTCAACAATCGTAAATATAAAACTGCACTTACATTGGAACCTTTTACCGGGTTAACCTACTTTATGAGGATTTATTTGACATATATACAATGGAATTGGCAATTTAAACCCACAGGGTTAACGAAATCCGGTACAATGTAAACGTTCTTTAAATGAAAAAAATGCATCATTATTTTAAAGCCAAATTAAAGACACCAGTTTACACATTTGAATTCTGTATTTGTTTTACTTGCTTTTACAGTGTCCGCGGGGAATCGCATTGGTGGCAAGAGATTCATGAATATTTACATTTCAATTGGAATATTTTAAATAATTTCAATATTGATATTGTTTTTATTTTTATTTTGTAAATATATTTGCTTTGCCATTATTTTTGTCAGCGCTGCTGTTTTAGCTACTGCCGCAGCTAAAGTAGGTTGCTGGTTTGCGTCGACAACTGGTTGACTGTTTATTTGTGTGAAAGAAGTAATGTAAACCATTCATTTCATTTGAGTAATTGAAATTTAATTGATAAACAGAATGAAAGCTTTGGAAAACCGCTTTCCATTAAAATGTTTCACTTGAGAGCACTCAAATCGACAATGCCGGCAAATAAAAAGAAACAAGAAATGAGTTCGTAGTCATTCCCAACCACATGCACACACACACACACCACCCGCCCACAAACGAGTCAACTATAAATAAGGCCGTGGCTAAAAGAGAAGTGAAAATAAATAGCAAAAATGTGCCGTGAGAGATCCAGAGGTGTATACACGTAGCCATCACCTCCCCGCTATCCTTGCCCTTTTAAACTGTTGAAGATTTTGCCACAGTTAAACAAGGCAAGTAAACAATTTTCAATGTATGAATTTAAATTGAAATACAACCGAAGCAACAGCATCTGAAACGAAATGCTGCCTACCGCACTCATTACGGCTGCATCCATACCTTGCGAATTGAGTGGCAAATATATTTTCGAATACTGTGTATAAATAAATTATGGTTGTTATCGTTATGCTCACAGTTGTTGTTCGTTGCTGTTGTTGTTGTTACAGATGATATGCCGAATCCTACCTAACCTGGCGATGGTCGAAAAATTCTTGTCATTGCTCGGCAACGACAATGAAGAAGAAAGCCTACAATTGTTTTCCTCAACATGCTCATTAAACAAATTAAAATGTTGACTGTTCTCATTTTGTTACATTTTTTTGCTGATTTCTCTTTTATACACATCCGTTACCACCACATTAACGTTCATCTTTGTGCACGTACATGCTCACACATATATTGTTATGTTTTTGTGTACAGATTCTGGATTCCATTGTATATGCGTGGGTAGGTGTTACAATGGATGCACATATTATAACATAAATGTTTACAATTATACAAAAGCCCTTGAAAATATTTCTGATTCTATATGTAAAGCAATTTGACAGTACCAAAAGTTTCGGGGTATACATTGTTTAAGAAAATGGAATGACAATTCAGATATGAAATTCAACGAATAAATATTTAATTATCGACAATTCAACTCTTTTTAGGCGGTATATGTTACTGAAGTCCCCTAGTAATATTATTTTTAATAGTGATTGGTATCGTATAGATTTTTAAAATTTTAAAGACATTCCACTATATTTATCATCGCGGCGGACAGTATATTCAGAATATATTTACGACAGTAATAAAGAAACGAATGCCAGATGGCTCGGATAATACATGTGTAATTAAATATTATTATTTGTCGATTTGACAATCTATCCAAAATCTTTGTGTAATAGTCGCCTCTACTAGTTCCTATTTTTTTTTTAAGATAATCCCTTAAAAGTAATAACACAATTTTAAATACCAACAACATATAATCAAGTGCAATACAATAGGAGTGAAATAATAAAGCAATGTCTTCTTCCTTTGTCAGATATCGAGGCAAAAAAAATCAGATTTATTACTCTTGATCAGCATTAAACAATTTATCGATTTTTTGGGATCTCCATGGGTACCTTTTTGCGATAACTCACTTACTTTTTTATATATGCAACAAACACCATCTATGCATTGGATCGGGGACTTTTCAATGGATGTGATGTCTTTTTTCAGAAACCAGAAAAAACTCCAGAAACTGGTATCTGGTATAACATGCCAACGATTGCCTCATTTAAATATCATATCATTACAAAATAATGGAAAATCACTCCCAGTTGCATAATCGAGCTACGCCAATGCCGCTCAGGCAATATTTTATACTTAATTACAAAATAACATCAACAACCATTTTTGCTTGAGAAATATCATCGTTTCCACACAATTAAGTGTGTACTTCACTTCATTATAAAAGAAAAACTCATCGTCGTGTTTAATAGGCCATCATCATCATCGTCGTCGTCGTCGTGTACACTGAACCATTTCAGCCAGCGTAGACACATAATGTACTAAACATTTATGGTAATGACCTACACTTGGAAAAGGGACTTGTCCCCTACTTCTCTGCTCTAAAAGAATACAAAATACAAAGAAGACTTTTATGTTCGACTTCGACTATCACTGCCAGAGCAAGTCATAGGTGTTTGTGTTTGTCTTTCTTTTTTTTGTCTCCCTCTATTCGATTATGTGTATATATGAATCCCTTATGACCTCTTTGCATATTGAAATGACTTACCAAAAATAAAGCTACATTTTTGCAGTTTCTCATTACATTAACGTTCTAGATGTTCGTTCAGTCGCTCGCTGCAAGATTCATGCTCAACGAATGACATAAATTTGAATAAGGTCACATCATTTGGATTTGTTAATGATAATAGTTGTCATTAGTATTCATTTGAAATTGATAAATGTCACAAGTTTTTTTTCCTTTTCTTTTGTTCTTGCAGAAGAATATAATTTCTCCTTTGCCTTTTCTTGTTGCAAGGGGTGGGAGGGACAATGATGAAATGAATTAAAAAAAATACTCCAAGTAATTTATGTACAAATTCCTAAGAATTTATGGGACATTTGAACCAAAAGGCCATGGCTAATAGATGAATCTGCATTCATAAATCTCACACAAGGGGCAGTCTGAGACATTATCCAAGACGATTTAAAGATTGAAGCTATTTTATGGCCAACGATTACCACAAATAAATATTGAAATTTTATGAAAATTTTTCTTGAATATTAAAAAGATATCGTTTTCCATTCTCCGGGTTTTGTGGCTTTCGACAGGGGTGAATGTGTGTGTGTGTCCATGTTTGTGTGTCTATTTTAATGGAATACTAAGCACTTTGGGTACTACATCATCAGGCCACACTAATGGAATAACCGCAGAAATGGAATCGTTCGTTGCGGACTATGGTGGTTAGTTTGCCATTGTCCTTCTTCATTGTTCTAGCAATCAGTGGTTGGCTGGCTGGCTGGCTGGCTAGATGGCTGTTCTATACTTGCCACAATAGCTGAAACATGAGTTTTATAGCTTGAGGCATTGCTTATAAATTGTTTGTTGCCGGTCTAAGCTTAGTTGTAGTCGTTTGCTTTTTAATACATGTCCTAGTTGAATTAGTGGCAATACACCAAAAGGAATTATTTAAAAATTTTCATAAAAACTAATGTTATGGTTTTTGGTTTATTTGCAGCACCGCCGTCGTTCTGTGTTCTGATAATTTTTTATGGTGGCCCTCAAGTGATAATTGGTTAGAATGAATGTTAAAACTTCCCAACTGCAGTATATAAATATATTTGGGATGTTTGGCGGGCTGGCTTGTAGGATGGTTTGTTCGCTGGTTTGCCATGTGAATATTCAGGCTGTAGCTTGAATATTGGATGAAACAGGATGATTGTTGACAATGTGCCAGAAAATGTCGCAACTTTAGAAGATTGTTAGCAAAACAATTGTTTTCTTGGCTTGGTGATAGGAAGGAAAATATGTATATGCATTGCTGCGGGTTAAATAGAAATCTAAGGTGAAAGACCATCAATATGAAATAGAACAGTGGTCGATCAAAGGTAAAGAATTTCATATATTATAAAAACAAATAAAAAATGTATCTGAAGAAACAACATTAGTTTGGAATATGATAACTAGATTTTTTTGGTTTTGATGGGACAATATTGTTTAGTTATGGTAGGGAGCATTTCTAGGTAGCGAAAAAATTACCTCACATGAATCAGCGTTCAAAAGGGGTCGAATATCAATGGACATCTGAATATTGTCAGATATCTATTTTCGTTAATTTGTTATTTTATTTAATATTGTAGAAAAAAATATTTTTGTGAAATTTATAATATCCCGATTGCATCGTTTAT